ATAGGTGGTGTGGAGAGGATACTCTGAGGATCTCTTTCCCCCACGTCTTCGGAGTTTCAAACCAGAAGGAATTGATGGTTCAACAGATTCGTAAGGAGCATGAAGGGGGGTAGTATGGGATCTCTCATTTAGAATGAACATGCAAGATAGGGAGATTGCGGAGCTCCAAGATTTGTTGGCACTGCTATATGGGCAAGACAGGCCCCAGCCATCTTGTGATTCTTGGAGATGAGGGTTGCGTGATGATGGTTTATTCACCGTAAAGTCCTTTTACCAGAGTATGTTAGTGAGAGAGGAGGTCACTTTTCCATACTCCTTGATCTAGATTCCTAAGGCGCCCACGAAGGTGTGCTTTTTTGCATGGCTAGCGGCGAATGGAGTGATCTTGACTGCGGAAATTCTGCGAAAGAGAGAAATTACATTTGTTAGTTGGTGCTACATGTATAAAAGCTCAGGGGAAGAAGTTGTCATCTTTTGTTGCATTACCCTGTGTCCTCGGGTTTGTGGAGGGCAATCCTGAATCTTTTTGGTGTTCAATAGGTGATGCCAAGCACTGTAAAGGAAATGTTATATAGCTGGGCCGGTTTCCGTAGAAGAAGAAAGCAAAAGGCGTAGAAGTTCACACTGTTAGCTCTCACGTNTCTTACATTAGTCAGAGGCCATTGTTGGTGAACTTAATGAGAAAATTTACAAATGAAAGAAATTTGGTGAGACTACCCAAGACAAGATTTGCAACGACTTTCTAGACTCTGCATAGTTTTTACTTGCGAAAGAGAAAACTTGAGAAAGCTAGTTCTTTCAACCGAATGGAAAGAAAATAGCTATGCAAAGGAAGCTGACTTTGTTCGGGCACTTAAAGTTGGTGGTCCTTTGATTAAGGTACTTCGTATGGTGGATGGGGAGATAAAACAACCAATGGGCTATCTTTATGAAGCTATAGATAGAGCAAAAGAAACTATTGAAGCGTCATTTGAGGGTGATTTGAGAAAATATGAGAAAGTTTTCGAGAACATGACAGAAAGTGGTCGGATCAACCTCATCGATCTTTGCATGCAGAGGGCGATATTTGAAGTCGTGATTGTTTTGCAAGAATAATAAAGATGGCACTTAAGATTCAAAAGTGTGGGTTGGATACCAAAATAGAATTGAGAAGTTGGTCCCTGATTCAGCGATAATAGATCAAATAAGGGAGGAGTTTGGTAAGTGCACACAAGCAGATGGATTATTTGGTTTACAGATGGCTATTAGAGCCAGAGACATAAGGTCACCAGGTAACTTTAAATGGATGTCCTTATAGCTTTACTTTAAGTTATTTGATTTATTTTTGTACTTATTAACTTTTAAAATATTTCTATAGTTCAATGGTGGATGCAATTTGGTTATCAAACTACAAACTTGCAAAAGTTTGCTATCAAAGTACTAAGCTTAACTTGTAGCGCATCTGGATATGAAAGAAATTGGGGCGTGTTTGAACATGTAAGAAGCAGATTTATTATATTAATGTTTTCTATATTGTATTATTATTATTATTATTATTATTATTATTATTATTAGTATCTATTAATTACTCTCTACAACTTATGCGCAGATTCATTCCAAGAAAAGGAATAAGCTTGAGTTATCGCATCTCAATGATCTAGTGCATATTAAATACAATAGAACATTGAAGCGTCGTTTAACGACGCTAACAACGCTCGCGATACCATTGATCCAATTTTGTTGGATAATATTGACGAGGCAAATTAATGGTTAACTGGAGCCCCCAAAATCATGACGATGAACAAGTGTACGTAGGAGATGATCTCAAGTGGGGTATTGTTTCTAGGGCGGCTGGAGTTGTGAAGAATATCTATAGTCTTCGGGGGAGTTCTTTAAGTTCAAATAACAATGGAAAAGGAGTAGCTACAAGTTCAAGTCGGTGCCTAATTGATAAAGACTCTGAGGATGAAGAAGATGATAGCCAATATAATGCTAACATTTTTGAAGTTCAAGAATTTGAAAATCTTGAACAAGAATAGATGTTGCTTGTTTTAATTTATGAATCTACTATGACTATCTATTGAGTTTTTGAATTGATTTATTTATTAATATGCTATTGCTATTGAGCTTTTAGTTATTTACAACAACACAACGACCCAGTGAAATCTCACTTTTTAGTTATTTAAAACAACACAACGACCCAGTGAAATCTCACTAGTGGGGACTAGGGAGTTTTTAGTTATTTATATATGCAAATTTAATATTTTATTTTTTTGTATTAATTAGCACTTCACATAAAAAAGGTGAGCACTACGCTTCTCGCTTATCGCCTTAGTGAAGCGGGCCCTCATCGCTTTTTGTCGCCTCACGCTATCCAAAACACTGGTGTATGCAGACGTTACCCCTACCTTGTGAAAGTAGAGAGATTGTTTCCGATAAATCCTCGGCTCAAGGAAAGCATAATCATAGCAGTTTTGAAAAAGAAATACGGTAGTGGAGAAGCCAGGGAAATAGAAGCAGTAACAATATCCAGAAACATAAGATAACAGAAGCAAAAGAAATAACAGGTAGTAATAGAAATCTGAGAATAGAAAATACGAGAATACCACTAGTTCTACAGGTATGGAAAGGAAATACATGTATGAAAAAGAAATACGCTAGACTACTTACTAACCTACTATTATAATCCTCGACCTCCATACCCTCCTATCAAGGATCATGTTCTCGATATGCTGAAGGTGTGTCATACCTCTCTCTAATACTTTTTCGGTCTACCTCTACCTCTCCCTGGACCCATCAGAGCCAACCTCACACCTCACTGGGGCATCTGTGTATCTCCTCTTCGCATGCCCAAATCATCTCAGCCTTGTTTCCCGCATCTTGTCCACTACACAAGCCACTCCCACCTTGTCCCAAATATCTTCATTTCTAATCATATCTCTCCTAGTATGCATACACATCCGTCTCAACATCCTCATTTACGATACTTTCATCTTCTGAACATAAGAGGTCTTGACAGGCCAACATTTCGCCGATACAACATAGCCGGTCTAATAACCACTCTGTAAAACTTACCTTTAAGTCTTGGTGGCACATTCTTATCGCACAAGACGCCAGATGCGAGCCTACATTTCATCCACCCCGCTCCAAAGATGTGTGACATCTTCGTCAATCTCCACATTACCTTGGATTATAGATCCAAGATATTTGAAACTTCCTCTCTTGGGGATGACTTGTGTATCCAGCCTCACTTCCACGTCAGCTTCCCAAGTCACTTCACTGAACTTGCACTCCAAGTATTTTATTTTAGTCCTGCTCAATTTGAAACCTTTAAACTCCAGGGTCTGCCTCCAAACCTCTAGCCTAGCGTTAACACCACCTCACATTTCGTCAATCAACATTATGCCATCTGCAAATAACATGCACCAAGACACCTCCTGAATGTGTCGCGTCAACTCATCCATCACCAGGGCGAATAAGAACGGGCTGAGAGTTGATCCCTGGTGCAACCCTCTCATGACTAAGGAGTGTCCCGAGTCTCCTCCCACTGTTCTTACCCGGGTCTTAGCTCCATTATAGATGTCCTTAATCGCGCATACGACTAGAAACACCTCTAGCCTCCAAACATCTTGTACGAACCTCCCTTGGGACTTTATCGTATGCTTTTTCTAGGTCGCAGAACACCATATGTAAGTCCTTCTTCCTCTCCCTATACTGCTCTTTGTACACCATATAGCTAGCAGACATAGGAAAGGTAGTGATAACTAAGTGAAGGAATGCAAAAGTCAAAAAAACAGTTGAAACTAAACCACTAAGCTATGTAGTAATCGTGGAAGCTTCCAGATATCTTCATACCCGCTTTTTTATTTTATATACTATAATATAAATCAGTGCTGCATCATAACCATGCAACATGAGCAAGCAACACCATGAGCACCAATTCAACAATAGACAGTAAAACATGTATTAAACAAAAAGAAAGCAACTGGAAACATCTTACTCCCTCTCTTTCTCTCAGTTTCTTGCTCCCCCCCCCCCCCCTTCTGGTTTCACTAGAACAGGTTTTGGTCCCACTTTTTTAAGGCATTTTTGGTCCCGATTTTCTTGGCAAAATCATTATTTCGTCCATTTACTTTGCATATATAACTTTTTAACTTGTTGGATACTGCGACCATTAAATATAACATGCTTTCTGTTTGTTTTTTTTAACTTCACTATTTAGATGACTTTTTTCTTTATCTTGCCATATTCAAACCGAAATAGTTAATTAAAAAGAAAAGAAATCGAGTGAATGACCTAGTCTCTCTACCCTCGCCCCCTCCTCCTCCAGGAGACCTTGTCCATCACCACCCGCTCCCTAGCGCCCTTCCTGTAGCACCTTGTTACTTGTCCCCTGCCCCTCACCTCTCATGCCCCGCCCCGCCCCACCCAGCACCTGTCATCCCCCGCCACATTCTCCCTCCGCTCCCACCACCCATCCTTCTCGCCTATTCCCAGAAAAATCAGCAGTGTCACGGAAAAGCCATTCACCCATCTCCCTCTATCAACAATGAGCCCCTCCTGCTCTCTCTTATTTTTTCCCCATCTCATTTCATTTTTTTTCCTCCTATTTTTGGGCTTCTTGAAAGAAAAATAGAAAACCATTTACACACTGCTATTTGTTACTAAATTAGATGAAAAGCCCCTAAGCCAAAAACTAAAGGTTTATGTGCAACGTTGGATGATAAAGAAATTAAAACCAGACACATTATATAATAAAAGAACTACCATTCTTTTTTCCTTTTGTATGAGAAAACTTTGAACTCCGCAATTTCTTCAGAAACTATATTGAGCTATCGGGAGTCTAAAGCATGTTTTGCAGTAATTAAAATTTCTTGATAGAAAACAAAATCAAACATAGGACTCCAAGATAAGACAGGTTTTTGGGTTTCTCTGTCCATGGATACAATGACTAAAAGCATATCAGTATCATTAGAAAAAGAAGAAAAAAAAAAAGCAGGATGGGGAAACAAGATAATTACCAATGTAATAGTGTCCATTTGAGATGACACTGAAAGGGAGAGTAAATTTGAAGGTTTGATGCTAGTGGTTGTTGAGATACCCATTCTAGACGTCTGCACTTTAAAAGCTTCATCCTTTGAACTCACTGAGCTGGAATTTCCTTGTTCTACTTGAACTGATGTGAAGGATGCCAACTGCGATTCATGCCCCTGGTCATGCAAATGATCAATTGGTTCAGGCTTTAGATTGGTCATTGGTGTCGAAAGAAGAATTTTCTGCTCTTTATTGGTGGACCGTGACCATTGAAGTGAACTCTGTTGCATTGTTGATGTATTTGACACATGAGAAAGACTTCCACCTGGTATTCTTTTGGGTTCACCAAATGAATTTTGTCTTTCAAGCTTAGGTGCATTTATCATATTCACGGCATGTGTTGAGGCTCTTAATGGAGTTGCATTTCTATTTGGATAAGCCGGAATTTGCCTTATCTGTATATCATTAGATGGCTGTTTGACTGGTGTCCCCATAGATGAACTAACATTAGTTACAGAATATGGACTATAGGTGTCCCCAATATTTGCAAACTTGGGAAAAGATGCCTGTGAAAAGTGCAAATGCTGCTGTTGTTGCTTATTAAGACCCTTTACTGGGAATGCTGAACAATCTCTTTCTTGTTTTACAGCAAACAAACTAGAAGAAGAAATTTGGCTTCCTGGTGTTCCATGCAAATCTGCTTGGTTTTCCACCTCATGCAATTTTTTAGCATTACTATCACCTGCCAAGTTGCTTGAATCTGTGGATGTTCGCAGAGCAGCAGCACAATGATAAGTAGGGTCAGAAAATAAGTTGGAATCTTCTGATTTGTATGAATGATATTGAGGACACAGTTACCATCAGTTCGATTTTGCTGGTGTTGCTGTGGTGAAGCCTGAGACTGAGGTACAGCCTGATCATTTCTAGCTGCCTGATTTAAACATTCATGTAAAATAAGTGAACAAACACAGAATGTAATTTAATTATTAGGAAATGCTGCTTCTTTTGTACCTGAGATTGGAATTTGTATACAGCCATTTTGAGCATCTGCTCACCTATTATACTTCTCATGTGTCGTATAAAACCTTCCTTAGAGATTTCATTTTTCTGATCACATTCCAACATTACTTAAGAAAAACAAATAATACCATAACATAACAAAAAGAAAAGGATAAATGATACAGAAAACTAGTTGGCTCTAACAAACTACCCTGAGTTTAAGGTAGAGAGTCTGAAGATGCATCGCCCTGTCTTTGTCTAGTTGGCGTTGTATGTGAGGGATAAGGATGGAAAAAGGCACTTGTTTGCCCTGGTTAACTACATCGATTGCTGGTTGGCTACTCAAATCAGTTGCAGATTTTGGTTGATAACTTGTCTTTGCTGCCATCAATTGCTGACCGCTAGTCCCTGTTGGAAATGACTGCATAGATTGTTGATTACTCAATCCCTGCAAGTTTAGATGCCGGGAATCTAAATTTTCAGGATTCTTTTCAGATCTCTTCAAATTCAACACCTCAAAGGCGTGAAGTGTGTTTTGTTCAGCCCTCGGTAGTTGATAAGCATCTTTGGCATGTATATGCTGCAAACGAAGGGAATTAAGCTCCTGTGAGGAATCATCTTCGTGTTGTTGAGTAGGAGCATCTATACCATGCTGCTTTAGTTCCAAATCAGATGAATCTCCCTCCTTTTGCTGCATGTTCTGCGAATTTGAAGACTCTGAT